ATCTATCTATCTATCTATCTATCTATCTATCTATCTATCTATATATAGTATCTCCAGTAGCGATAAATGCATCCTGTTGGTTGATATAAACATAGTTAAACGGCTCTCTTGCAAGGCAAAAGCAGACGCTTCTCAGCGCCACTTTAAACCACCAGCAGTTCAAAATTTTGAATCGGTACTGAACTCAACTTCCTCATTCTGCTGCTGCTTATATAGCTCTCTAAAAATAGTGCACCAACCCTACCAGGGAGGGCTGAGCCAAATCCCTCAGCATTGGTCAAAGGGAGGTTGTAGGCGGGCCCTGCGCTCTGCAAACCGATTGGTTCGCGTACCAAACGTAATGTAATCACATGGGGGTGAGTTTGTCTGTAATTTTGAATCGGGGGGGAAGTTTACAGTGCGCTGACAGACTTTTGAGTGAGTTCAGTGTGGTGCGCTCCTCGGTGCGTCACAAACTCAGACCGTCAGCAGTGGAACAGCGCATCTATCCAAAGGCTGTCATACATGCACATACAGCAGAGTGTCCACTTTCCTTCCGAATACAACATCCTTCTTTACTCGCTTTACTTCGCTTCTTGCTTCGGCTAAGACTCGGGAGTGAAATGGATGTCATACCGATGTGCAGCATCTTCCAGGAGCTCCAGATTGTGCACGACACCGGATACTTTTCCGCTTTACCTTCTCTGGAAGAATACTGGCAGCAGGTAAGGAGACAGCACAGCTTAGCTGAAGTGGAAGTGCTTAACAAGGAGCGCAGGGTATGTGCCTAATTTGATTTGGGGACAGCATGGTTGCGGTGACAGCTGCGTGTCTCTGTCAAAAGTAGACTTTTAGGGAAGTCCTGCAGTTCCCTCAGTGGCACTTCACTTTAACTGTAAAATAAGCAATTTAATAGTGTTTTACAGATTGGAAGAGTGGCTATAAAAAGATAACCAAACAAATAATTAATAAAAAAAAAAAAAAAATCATGTAACTTTTAAAACTGCATTTCTTGCTATGTGCAATATTTGCGCGTTTGTGTGTGTGTTTTTTTTTTTTTTTGCTCCGTTACAACAAGCTGTCTGTTTTTCTTGCTACGGTTGCAGATGCAAATATTTATGTAGATGATTTAAACTCATAGGCATGCGATAAAATGGAAATACGCTGTGCTGCTGATAGAGCGCTTGAATGGCGAGGGTAGTCTTTCCGCGCACCTCCTCCTCCTCCTGTTACGCCCCCTGTCTCTCCCCCTCTCTCTCTTTTCTCTCTTTCTCTCTCTCCATCTCACTCACACACACTCAAACACACATGAGAGAGACCAGTCTGACTCAGGAATGACAGTTGAGACTAGTTTGTCTTGACCAAACGGACGCTGTTGTGAAAGTTTTAGTCTGGAAAAGTCTCCTATCGTTCAGATTGACACATAAAATGAAAAAAATCATTTTTTTGTTTCTTCTGTCTCCCAATGTATCCTACCCCTTTCACGCTATTCGTTCCAAGTCTCACTCCCAGACATTTAAAGTCTTCTGGTATTTCCTCCAGACATGTTGACATGGACAGGGGCGTATTCATGAAGTTTTATAATGGGGGCCAGAATACATCCTTTGGTGGGAAACTGCAACCTACAGAGATTATTTTAAATTTGATTTGAATGAAAGAGAGAGAAAAGAAAACTCTACAGAACAACATAAAATTTCTTTAAAAATATTGGTGCATACGTTTAGACAAGATGAGCTGAGCTGATGTATCCTGTAAGAAATGTATTTATTTACTTAGCCAAACAGTTTTATGGAAGAGGATTAGGGCCACTGGAAAAAAAAAAAAAAGTTAACTGATTTTTTTTTATTTTATTTCAGTATAGTATGGGAAAAAAGTCAGAATTCTGACTTT